ATATTGGACTGCTTCTATACAAATATACATGTAGGATTTTTAAAAAAATCCTTACAACCTATCCAAATTAAAGCACTTAATGACTGTCAAAAGGGACGTGGTGGTGCTGTGGGTCAAACCGCAAAAGCCTCTGTGCTGCAAGGTTGGAAGACCAGCAGTCGTAAGTTCAAATCTACGTGACCGAGTGAGCTTGTCCCAGCTCCTCGCCAACGTAGCAGTTCAAAAGCATGTAAAATGCAAGTAGATAAATAGGTACCACCACGGTGGGAAGGTAACAGTGTTCCGTGTCTAGTTGCGTTGGCCATGTGACCACGGAAACTGTCTTTGGACAAACGCTAGCTCTACAGCTTGGAAACAGGGATGATGAGCACCGCCCCCTAGAGTCAGACACGACTAGGCTAAATGTCAAGGGGAACCTTTACCTTTATCTTTACCTATGACTGTCAAGTGATTGACATGTTTAGCAATATCCACCTACAGATATTAATCAAGTGGTCTGTCCTATATATTGTGGGAAAAGTCAATCTGCCATCTTCCCCCTTGATTATTTTTTCTCCCACTTCTAGTACTGATTTCAACACCTATTGCTTAAAACCTGTCTACTCTACTGCACGAGTGTAAAGCAACTAATAGGAGTGTAAACAAAATACACACTGAAGGCTAATTATAAATAATACACATGAGTGTGTGGGTGGGTGCTCTCCTTAACTAGCTTAGGCTGGTTTGAAATACAATAAATAAAAATAAAGATGCCCCAAACTCTTGCAAAAAAGGAAGTGGGAGTGAAGTAGGTTGCAATCTTTGGAGAAGACAGCAAAACAGCTATGGATCAGCTATGCATCCTTCTTTTCCAGCTTAGGATGGATGGCACAATCCAGAGGGTTTTCTTGCTCCATCACCAATATTTCATTGAGAGAGAAGTGGAGTGCATTAGGCTGAAAGCCGTAGGGCTAAACAAGAAAAGAAAAGCCTCAAAAGAGATGAGGAAGTTCCTGCAGGTGCCAAAGCATGACTAGAACGTACTGCCAGGGATCCACTCCTATCAGGAGACCAACTGCTGCTTTTCTGGACTAGCTGGTGGCTTCTAAATTGCCACTCACAACCAACCCACACAGCACACATTCAAACCAATGCATCCTTCTCCATTATAATAGTATGAATTTCATTGCCAGGCCAGCCTTGGATACAAAAGGTCTCAGCCTTGTCACAATGCAGAGTTGTTGCACACTTAGCATTCCAAGCTAGATATGGTAACACAGCCGTATACACACATAAAATGGAGGTGGTGTGGGAATATATTATTCTCATGTAAAGAAGAATGCAAGTTTGGGAGTGAAACCCACTGCCGTCTTTTCTCTTGCCAAGCTCTCTCACTTGAGGTACTTCCTTCCTACCCCAACTCTGATCCCATTAGGTAGCTCAACTGGTCTAGTGCTAAAAGATGCAAAACAACACCACACAGGAAGGTAAAGCAAAGAGAGGGAATGGGATTGGCCTGCTTTCCTTTGCTGTCTTTCTCCTGTTAAAGAACAAGTTCCTTCATGGCCAGTTCTACAAGTCAACAGGGCAAGCAAGCAGATGAAACACATGGAGCTGCTCCTGTCACACCTATACTAGCACCGATCAACTCAGGGAGACTGAACTGTGTCAGTGAGAAAGGGTCCCATAAATGTATCCTGCTAACAGGGCCTGTGGCTATGTTTTGTCTGCAAATCAGTTTATGTACTCGACTATCAGCCACACGCAGAGACAGAATAAGGTGCAGAGCTGCTCTAAAGCAAGCTTAAATATTAAACAAGAATGTATGCATTCCTGCTGTCTTTATTTCTAAGTCCTCCCTCCCCCCTCTTCTTTTGCTCCCCTCTATGCCTCTGATTTCACATGGGCCCTGGCACTGAGGATTTCTTTGTTGATTTCTTTGTCTGGTTCTGTCTTAAAAAGAGGCAACAGCCTTCAAACAGGAGAAAAGTTGAGATAGGGGGCAGAAACAGCCAAGAAACTGAGGGTGATAAAATGTAATGCTCTGAAATTCAGAGACACATTATTCAAAACAGCCATGTTTATATAATCAACTTGAAAACAAAGTCTAGTGTTTCTTCCCTGATGTCCAATCATCAAACAAAAACAATCTATAACTTGTGAAGTTGCAAAACAATACTCAAATGACTTTTTGTTCTTAAGGCAGCTCTGCTTCTAATAGTGAAGTTGCCATAACATCTGTTTCTGCCATGGTAGTGGAAGACAGAAAGAAATGCAAGCAAAACCTGCACCAATGCCAGCTATGTTTCTTCCAAGCCACACAGTCACTACAGAGCAGCACCGTGGAAGCAATTTATGCAAATAGCTCAGTATCTCCATTTTGTAGTTGATAAAGCCTTCAGTCTAAGAAAGCTATACAGCAAAGGTACTCAGGAGAACATCTAGGGCCATCTCTTCTACATCCTAGCTAAAACGGCAAGCATAAGCATTCATGGACTTGTGTTTCCTACAACAACTCTGATGGTAAGTACAATTGCTGAAATCCAATCATGATGTAAAAAGAAGAGCTGGTCACACAGTCTCCCTAAGAAGAAATTCTGTTCACCCTCTTGCATGACCACACTACATCTGATATTGACCACACCTTCCCACTGGTGGGCCCCCCCAGTGCCTCAGCAGATCAAAAATATGTTCCTGGGTTAAAAAGAATCTCTGAGACCATACAGAATGCCACAGAAGAGGCATTAGAAACACACCGAATTAAGCCAGGGCATCTTTTGCATTCAATAATAAGCAACTGATGTTATGACCATCTCTTAAATTTGTTTAACAGGCAGCCATACACATGTCCTGTATAGGACAGGTAAGGCAAGCCAAAAGGCCAGGTGTCTGTCCTTTGGATCTCGCAACTGAATTTCTAAAAGCAATGGGAGTTACGGAGAAAGGAGCAGCAAGGTTAGGCCAGGTAAGATCCTATTTTCTTCTTGGTGTCGATAGTTCTTGGGCCTGATTCTGAAGTTATATTTCGGGAATTCAACTCCCCGACAATAACTAGAGATCATCATCTAAAACTGATGTATGCAAAGCTGTTTTTAACTGTTTGTTCTTGCACCTCTCTCTCCCTCCTTCCCAGCCTGCACAAATTGGCCTGATGCACATTCACAACCTGTGACAGAAACTGAAATCCTCCAATCAATAACACAATGACGTCAAGCTTCTGCGTTTCTACTGAAGGCATTTCCAGTTCTTGAAAGCCTTCATCAGTCACGTTCATAGACAAAGGAGGAGGAGGAGGAGGAGGAGGAGGAGGAGGCAAGTTCCAGCCATCTGAAGGAAGGCCGAAAAATTAGTCTGGGAGCTTCATTTACATTTTGTATTTCAGATCCACTATTGTTAGTAATTTGAAAAGAGTCCAGGGAAAGGAGGAGGAGTGGGTAATCGGGCAATTATATCACTGACAAGCAAGGATGATTAAGGGTAGAAGGGTCAGGGGTTTGGCTGATGAACAGAGGAAGAGCAGCACCCACTAGAGAGAACAGCCTGTCAATGTTTGCCTTCTAAACCTCCTTTTATAAAAGGATTGTAATTCACTTGGAAAAACAGCTCCAAGACTCTAACTCGGCAAACAAGACCTTCTGCTCAGGAATGTCTTTGTCAGTTTGTTGTCCTCCTTGTTTTTAGTGATTAGTAGCATATAATGGATTCTTCTTAATTCCCCCTCATCTGAACATTTCCCACTCCTCAAAATGGAAGAGACCTTTAGCACTTTTTGGACCCCCAAAACTCACATAACACATTTACATTGACAGCTGCCTTCCTTACAGAGTAATATCAATGAGTGATGCCTACAGTGACAGCAACAGGTGCACTTGCAAATACTTCACCCATTGTCCACTTTGTGGACAAAGTCCTAGATGTTGACCTATCCATCTCAACCAGGGTTCCACCTTTTAAACTTAAAGAACTTTGGATAGTGTCACAGCAATCTCAGTATAGATTTTTTTTTTGGACT